GCAGGAACTGTTTTTGGACTGGTAATCCAACCTTTTTCAAGAATTACTTGGCAACATATTAATCCTTCACCAATTATGACCCTTGCAGGAACTGTTTTTGGACAGGTAGTCCAACATCATGAGGATTACATGGCAAAATGGCAATCCTTCACCATCCATGACCCTTACAGGAACTGTTTTCGGATGGGTAATCCAACATTATAAGGATTACATGGCAACATAGCAATCCTTCACCATCCATGACCCTTGCAGGAACTGTTTTTGGACAAGCATTCCAACATTATGAAGATTACATGGCAACATAGCAATCCTTCACCATTCATGACCCTTGTAGGAACTGTTTTTCAACGGATAATCCAACATTATGAGGATTACATGGCAACATAGCAATCCTTTACTATCCATGACCTTTGTGGGAACTGTTTTTGGATGGGTAATCCAACATTATGAGGATTACATGGCAACATAGCAATCCTTCACCATCCATGACTCTTGCAGGAGCTGTTGTTGGACGGGTAATCCAACAATGTAGATTCCTCTGTCTAGACCCTGGCAGTCCCTTCTTGCTGAGGTCATGGCTGGAGACATTTCTTCTGGAGCATAAGAAGACCCCGACGCTGGACAGCCAATAGGAAATGATCATGTCAAGCTGTCAGTGAAGTGGACAGTTGAAGAAGTACCTTACATTATGCATAAAGAAGAAGAGAGAAGACTCGGAACCAGAATGTCATGTGACCATGGATTTAGGTGCGTAAACGGTGCAAACTATGGGTGTGTGTGTTGTGGGTGGGTGGGTGGCAGTCCGGAGTTTCACACTAAAACTTTCATATTATTCCTTTTAGAAATATTTATGGGTATCAATCACACATCATTCAGTTAGCCGTAAAGGGACACCATCACCCTACCCATGCTGGGCAAAGCAACATTGTTTTTGTAAAGGACATTTTATTTATTGCAGGTACTTATATATCTCCACAAATTACAGTCTATTTATTTTAGGTACTTATATAGCACAGTCAATTTATGGGGCACTTCACACATATATTGTACATTCACATCAGTCCCCGCCCCCAAGGAGCGTACAATCTAAGGTCCCTAACCCTCAAGGAGCGTACAATCTAAGGTCCCTAACCCTCAAGGAGTGTACAATCTAAGGTCCCTAACCCTCAAGGAGCGTACAATCTAAGGTCCCTAACCCTCAACCCTCAAGGAGCGTACAATCTAAGGTCCCTAACCCTCAAGGAGTGTACAATCTAAGGTCCCTAACCCTCAAGGATTGTACAATCTAAGGTCCCTAACCCTCAACTCTCAAGGAGCGTACAATCTAAAGTCCCTAACTCACATTCATACATACGAGGGGCGACTGAAAAGTTCTCGGCCTACCTATGAAGCATTTGTCTTAGCCCAATTTAATTTTTGCTCCTCATCTTTTGCGAGGTTCCATACCAAATTTCTCACAAATAGCTATTTCTTTGTTTCAGTTATTGAAGACTGAAGCGCAGAAGGTCATCATTGTCTGAAAGATGGGAGAAAGTGAGCAAACGAGCAAACCAAATAAACCCGTCTAGCAGTATGCTAGGTTTATTTAGCACACATTTGCAAATACATGCGTAAGCCACAGAGTCCCTCCCCCTTGGTGGGAGTGGAGGTGACCCCTCTATGAGGACATGCAGTCCATACAAACCCTGCATAAGGCCGGGGTCACACTACCAGACGGTTCTCGGGACTGCAGTTCCTCTGAGCTCCACAAGGTGGGGATCTTACTTCTACCCAGACAGGAAGTCTCTATGGAAGACAGGAAGTGATGTCAAGGACACACAGGAAGTGATGTCAGGTATAAATAGGAAATTCCGTGTGAGAGGTGAGTCGGGAGGAAGTAGAGAGGAGACATTGCTGGAAGTGGCAGCAGAGGAGGTAATAAGATCTGATTTTATATTTACACTCAGTAATCCCTCGTCACGTCCATCCTCGTGTCCGTCCTCTTTCTCCACCGTCGCGTCTTTCCTTTTCCTCCACCGTTGCGTCTTTCCTCTTCCTCCATCGTCACGTCCATCCTCTTCCTCCATCGTCACGTCTGTCCTCTTCCTCCATCACGTCCTCTTCGTCATCGTATCCGTTCTCTTCACCGTCACGCCCGTCCTCTTCCTCCACCGCCTCGTTGGTCCTCTTCCTCCACCGCCACGTCGGTCCTCTTCCTCCATCATCACATCCTCTTTCTCCATCGTCACGTCCTCTTCCTCCATCGTCACATCCGTCCTCTTCCTCCATCGTATCTCTTCCTTTATCTCATCCTCTTCCTCCATCATCGTATCCGTTCTCTTCACCATCACGCCCGTCCTCTTCCTCCATCGCCACGTCGGTCCTCTTCCTCCATAGTCACTTCTGTGCTCTTCCTCCATCGTCACGCTCGTCCTCTTCCTCCATCGTCACTTCTGTGCCCTTCCTCCATCGTCACGCTCGTCCTCTTCCTCCATCGTCTCTCCTGTCCTCTTCCTCCATCGTCTCTCCTGTCCTCTTCCACCATCATCTCGCCCGTCCTCTTCCTCTATCGTCATGTCCGTCTTCCTCCATCATCGTATCCGTTCTCTTCACCATCACGCCCGTCCTCTTCCTCCATCGCCACGTCGGTCCTCTTCCTCCATTGCCACGTCTGTCCTCTTCCTCCATCGTCACGTCTTCCTCCATCGTCGCGTCTTCCTCCATCGTCGCGTCTTCCTCCATCGTCGCGTCTTCCTCCATCGTCACGTCTTCCTCCATCGTCACGTCTTCCTCCATCGTCACGTCTTCCTCCATCGCGTCCTCTTCCTCCATCGTCACATCCATCCTCTTCCTCCATCGCGTCCTCTTCCTCCATCACCGTGTCCGTTCTCTTCACCGTCACACCCGCCCCTCTCCTCCTCCACCGCCACGCCCGTCCTCTTCCTCCACCGCCACGCCCATCCTCTTCCTCCAACGCCACGCCCATCCTCTTCCTCCATCGCCGCGCCCGTCCTCTTCCTCCATCGCCACACCTGTCCTCTTCCTCCCTTGTCACTGTAACATCTAATAAAAGTGGTATAATCAGTTAGTATAGACTGATGAGGTGAGAAGGTGATTGGTGGGAAATGTGAGACGCCTCCACAATGAGGAGAATGTTCCGGACCCGGAAGTAGGGGAATGTTCTGCCCCTGAAGGCATTCATCTACATCTCCAGATGTTAATTTACATAACCGTTTGAATACCATGCCTGGGAGGTCCTAATCCTGCCTGTGATGGGGCGTCTATGTGATGTATGGAAAGTGCTGATATTTCCAAAGGAGAAAAGTGTTTTCAATTGCTGGCAAATGACATTTCCTTGGTTATAAAAAGTGTACGGCGGGGAATGTGGTTCCTTGGAACGGGCCCAAAATTAGAGGGAGACTGTGTGGGACTACAAGTCCTAAGAGAACTGTGCGGGAAAGGGGCAGAGACTGCAGAACCACAAGGCTGCGGGTGGAGAACAATGTCCCACGGTAGGAGAGAGACAATTTCCCTGTTTTGTAGCCTGTGTGGAGTCCAGCTGGAGTTGTAGTGTCCAGACATGGGATTGCGAGGCTCAGCATGCTGCAAGAGAGGGTATCTGTAGCTTCGTCCATGGTCACTGTTGTTGCATTCAGGACTGCTGCCATCACCCTCCAAGACTGTAGGAGTGTGTTCCAGACACTCGGGGGAAGGGGGAATCTTTATGATGGACTCCGGACCACTGAGAGGCATTCGTCCACCATCTTGGTTACATTCTCGACCCTCGACAACTCCTACGACCCCACTTTATCTCCAGGTTGTAAATCCCCTATCCCCTCACAACTCCTACGACCTCCACTGACCTCACAGCTCCTCTTCCCAATCTCCCTCCATCCAGAGACAGAATCCTATGACATCACACTGACCTCACAGCTACTCCTCCCAATGTCCCTCCATCCGGAGTCAGAGAATCCTATGACATCACACTGACCTCACAGCTCCTCCTCCCAGAGTTCCTTAAATCAGAGACAGAGAAGCCTATGACATCACACTGACCTCACAGCAATGCTTGAGGAAAAACCCATTCAAGAAGGCAGAAAACCCTATTAATTGTTCCTTGTCTGCAGATCGAATACTAAACAACATCCGAAACCAAACCTCACCCAACATAGAAAATGGAATATGTCCTCCAGGAGGTCAAAGAGTAAAAGGTTCCTAAAACCTAAGAATGAGAGCAAAAAACAAACACTCCGCATTAAATATGGTCCCAGTGGAGGTCATAGTTTGCAAATACAGACCTTCATATTACCTCCTGATATCCCCATCCTATTGTACAACCAATCCAGATCATTCTCTCATCAATGTTATCTGTCTACAGGGAAACCTTCATAGATGGCCACACCAATGAAGATGGAGGAGGACCCGAGTCACATGACTGAGAGGATACTAAACCTCACCCTGGAGATCATCTACCTGCTGACCGGAGAGGTGAGGAGGATTCTGGGAGGTCACATGACATCCCTCTTATTTCTATTAATAAAACACGGACCTGACCGGAGAGGTGAGGAGGATTCTGGGAGGTCACATGACATCACTCTCAGCTCTATTAATAACACACAGACCTGACCGGAGAGGTGAGGAGGATTCTGGGAGGTCTAATGACATCACTCTCATCTCTATTAATAACACACAGACCTGACCGGAGAGGTGAGGAGGATTCTGGGAGTCTAACATGATATTCCTATTGGTTCCTCAATACAGAGATTTCCTCTTCTGAAGTCAGGTGATTATATGACCATCACAGTGCCTCCATGTGACTCCTTAAACCCTGAGAGACACAACATGGAGAAGATTCTAGAAGTCACCAAGAAGATGATGGAGCTACTGACAGGAGAGGTGAGCGGTGCCGGGAATTCTGGGACATTCTCCAGTAACAGACAAGGGATGTGTCTGGATGGTGACTGTATCATTGTGTGTGTCAGGTTCCTATAAGGTGTCAGGGTGTCACTGTCTATTTCTCCATGGAGGAGTGGGAGTATTTAGAAGGACACAAGGACCTCTACAAGGACGTCATGATGGACAATCAGCCGCCCCTCACATCACCGGGTAAGAGGAGACTTTATTGGAAAGGAGAGAGCAGTACGGAGGCTCCACCTAGATTCCCCATCATCTGATAAACACATAGAAACAATGGATTCAGTCAGTGTGTGTGTTTCCTACAGATGGATCCAGTCATGGGAACCCACCAGAGAGATGTCCCCATCCACTGTATTCCCGGGATTCCACACAGGAAGGTCACACCATCCCTCACCATCATCAGGTAGATGGATCCAGTCATGGGAACCCACCAAAGAGATGTCCCCTTCCTCTGTATTCCTGGGATTCCTCACAGGAAGGTCACACCATCCCTCACCACCATCAGGTAGATGAGGAACAATCACTGATAGTTATGATTTATATACAGCTTCTTTGTTACAATGAATATCTTATTATATATTTAGAGTGGAAACCTTGGGGATTATAATATTGTTATTAAAGAAGAGTATGAAGAGGAGGATGAGGAGTATGGAGTGATGGAGGAGTTTTCTGATGGACACAAAGATCTCTACAGGGACATTATGATGGAGCCACCTAATACCAGGAACCTACCAGAGAGATGTCCCCATCCTCTGTATTCTCGGGATTCCACACAGGAAGGTCACACCATCCCTCACCATCATCAGGTAGGTGGAGTTGAGGGTCGGGAACATAAAGTGATGGAACACTCTGACATGTGGAGACGATGTGTGGACTCTACAAGATGAGATGTTCTATGTGATCTCACATCATAAATCCTTCTATGTTACAGATGTTATTTTCTGCCATTCTGTTGGTTTAGGGTGAAGATCTGATGAACATGAAAGTTGAGGGTGAAGTAGAAGAGACGTATGTGAGGGATGATCAGCAATATACGGAGGAGGCTGGAATGAGGAGGACATTCATAGAGGAGGACACTCCTACAGAGATCAGCACAGGTGACCAGAATATATTCTTCTCTTATCTCTGCTCTGTTACCGCCCCCCCCCCCAGCCCCCCATCGGTTCCTGCTCCTCTGACAATGCGGTGTAAATGTAGAAGTGATCTGGGAGGACCAAAGGCTCTTTGAAGAGGGGAAGAGTCCCAGCTGGTTGGGACATCCACAGAGAACATCTGCTCCCTCCTGTCTCCCTGATCCAGATGGAATCTTGATGGAAGTGAACTAACCCTCTCCTATCTATTGATGATGTTTTTCTATTTTTCCAGGGCCCGCCATAGAGAAACCCTCAAAGGATCGTCTCCTCACTTTACCTCCAGGTTGTAAAATAGAAGATGAGGACATCCCAGGAGATTGTGCCGGAGAAAAGACAATGAGCTCCACTATGGATGGTGGACTTCCCAGTGTGGAGAGACCATGGAATCCTTCTGACTCTGAGCAACCTCGTACTGTGGGGGATGGTGGCGGGGTTCAGGCGGAGAAGAAGTTTTCCTGCTCTGAAAGTTTTAGCTCTGAATTTGGTCTTTCTGTATATCAGAGATCTCGCATGAAGGAAAAACCGTATTCCTGCCCTGAGTGCGGGAAATGTTTTCCATGGAAATCAGAACTGGTCAGACATCAGAAATCTCACACAGGGGAGAAGCCATACTCCTGCCCTGAGTGCGGGAAATGTTTTCCATGGAAATCAGAAGTTGCCAGACATCAAAAATCTCACACAGGGGAGAAGCCGTATTCCTGCCCTGAGTGCGAGAAGAGCTTTATTCGCAAATCAGATCTCACTGTACATATGCGATCTCACACGGGGGAGAAACCATTTTCCTGTTCTGAGTGCGGGAAATGTTTCTCACAGAATTCCCATCTTTTAAGACATCAGAGAGTGCACATGGGTGAGAAGCCATATTCCTGCCCTGAGTGTGGAAAATATTTTTCACGAAAGTCCCATGTTACTGCACATCAGATATGTCATACAGGCGAAAAACCATTTTCCTGTTCTGAGTGCGGGAAATGTTTTCCATGGAAATTAGAACTTGTTAAACATCAAAGATCTCACACCGGAGAGAAGCCTGTTTCCTGCCCCGAGTGCGGGAAATGTTTTCCATCAAAATCTGATCTTGTTAGACATCAGAGATCTCACACAGGGCAGAAGCCTTTTTCCTGCTCTGAATGTGGGAAATGTTTTTCAGATAAGACCAGTCTTTTGAGACATCAGAGATCACACACAGGAGAGAAGCTATATTCCTGTCCTGTTTGTGGGAAAAGTTTTTCACAGAAGGCTCATCTTTTAAGACATCAGAAATTGCACACAGGCCAAAAGCCATATCCCTGCCCCGAGTGCGGAAAATGTTTTTCACAAAAGTACCATCTTAATGTACATCAGGTATGTCACACAGGGGTAAAACCATTTTCCTGCCCAGAGTGCGGGAAATGTTATCCAGCGAAATCAGATCTTGTTAGACATCGAAGATCTCACACAGGAGAGAAGCCATTTTCCTGCTCCGAGTGCGGGAAATGCTTTCTGTCGAAATCAGATCTTGCTAGACATCAGAGATGTCACACGGGGGAGAAGCCGTTTCCCTGCCCTGAGTGCAGGAAATGCTTTCTATCGAAATCAGATCTCTCTAGACATCAGAGATGTCACACAGGAGAGAAGCCTTTTTGCTGCCCTACGTGCGGGAAATGTTTTTCACAGAAGTCTTATCTTACTGTACATCAGAAATCCCACACAATGCTTGAGGTGAATTAGTGTCCTGAGTGCGGGAAATGTCTTCTAGATGGATGATATGTTGCCGTACATCAGAGATCTCGCACTAGGAAGAAGCACACCTTGATATACACCTCAGAAAACACATGGCTGAGCGCTCCTCTGATCTTTATCATGGAAGAAACACTTTATAAGGAGATCAGAGATCACTAAAGACTTCAAAGTTGTGTCTCGCTTCCTCTGCTAAGAGAAAGGAGGGGGGGGGGTCACTGCTGGTTGGGTCCCTCTAGCAGTGTAGTCTGATCTCCCCTGACCTTCAGCAGAAGCTTCATAGGAAGACATTGTGGTGAGATAGAAGGAGGGGTTCACTGCTGGTTGGGCCCCTCTAGCAGTGGAGTCTGATCTCCCCTGACCTTCAGCAGAAGCTTCCATGGAGGACATCATGGTGAGAGAAAAGGAGGGGGTCACTGCTGGTTGGGCCCCTCGAGCAGTGTAGTCTGATCTCCCCTGACCTTCAGCAGAAGCTTCCATGGAGGACATCATGGTGAGAGAGAAGGAGGGGGGTCACTGCTGGTTGGGTCCCTCTAGCAGTGTAGTCTGATCACCCTGACCTTCAGCAGAAGCTTCATAGGAAGACATCGTGGTGAGATAGAAGGAGGGGGTCACTGCTGGTTGGGCCCCTCTAGCAGTGGAGTCTGATCTCCCCTGACCTTCAGCAGAAGCTTCATAGGAAGACATCGTGGTGAGATAGAAGGAGGGGGTCACTGCTGGTTGGGCCCCTCTAGCAGTGGAGTCTGATCTCCCCTGACCTTCAGCAGAAGCTTCCATGGAGGACATCATGATGAGAGAGAAGGAGGGGTGGTCACTGCTGGTGGGTCCCTCTAGCAGAGGAGTCTGATCTCCCCTGACCTTCAGCAGAAGCTTCCATGGAGGACATCATGGTGAGGGAAGAGCTAGATAGTTCTTGTGGATAAAGTGAAGGGGGGATCAGACTACATGACAGGACATGCAGCAGTTTATCAGCCTTACAATTTCATATGTAACAACCACACCTCCATCTTTTCTATGTCCTGTGTCCCTCTAAACAAGAGGATCAGCATGAATACCAACAGCCCAGTGTTGGGAGGAGTCAAGCCGTGTTTCTGGAACACCAACTCCATTCTCATCACTGAGACCATCAACATCTCCCATTGGCTTTGGTCATTTTTCTGGCTTTTGTGTATTGAGTTACCTTTTCATCGTGCAACATAATTTGTGCCGTATTGTTATGTTTATAGGTAACGCAGAGATGCTCCTTTTGACCACTAACGGAAGATTTTACCCCATTCATGACCAGGCCATTTTTTTTTTTTTTTGCTATTCCACACTACTCGACTTTAACTGGCAATTGCTCGGTCATGCAACACTGTACCCAAATGAAATTTATATCATTTTGTTTTCCTTTGGTGGTATTTAATCATCACAGGGTTTGTTTTGTAATCATGTTTATAATATAAATAAAAAAAAATACCAAAAATTTAGAAAAAAAACCCAAAACAATATTTTTTTTTTACTTTTTGTTATGAAACATATCCAATAAAATTAAATTTCTTCATCAATTTAGGCCAAAATGTATTTTGCTGCTACGCGTCTTTGGTAAAAACCAAACTGCATTTTTGAGGGCACTATACTATTGGGGACACTATACTATTGAGGACACTATACTATTGGGGGCACTATACTATTGGGGACACTATACTATTGGGGGACACTTGGGGACACTATACTATTGAGGACACTATACTATTGAGACACACTAGCATCGTGCAACATAATTTATGCCGTATTGTTATGTTTATAGGTAACACAGAGATCCTCCTTTTGACCACTTCCGGAAGATTTTACCCCATTCATGACCAGGCCATTTTTTTTCGCTATTCCACACTGGAAATTGCTCGGTCATGCAACACTGTACCCAAATGAAATTTATATGATTTTGTTTTCTTTTGGCGGTATATAATCACCACTGGGATTTTTTTCATAATTATTTTTATAATAAAAATAAAAAAATACCAAAACTTTTTAAAAAAAAACCCAAAACAATATTTTTTACTTTCTGTTATAAAACGTATCCAATAAAATTAAATTTCTTCATCAATTTAGGCCAAAATGTATTTTGCTATGAGTCTTTGGTAAAAACCAAACTGTGTTTTTTGGGAGCACTACTATTGGGGACACTATACTTGGGGGCACTATACTATTGGGGACATATATACTTGGGGGCACTATACTATTGGGGGCACTATACTATTGAGGACAATATACTATTGGGGGCACTATACTATTGGGGACAATATACTATTGGGGGCACTATACTATTGGGGACAATATTCTATTGGGGGCACTACTACTATGGGGGCACTATACTATTGGGGACATTATACTATTGGGGGCACTATACTATTCGGGACACTAGTATAGTTCTGATTGATCAAGATACTGATCCATACAGGCAGTATGCTTGTAATGGCAGTGATCAGGAAATTATAGTGGGATTGTGATAGTGTAGCAGGCAATCTAGTGCTAACTGACATTGGCTGGGAGGGACGCTAACTGATGCTGATAGTGACACTAATACAGTGATCGGTGATAATACTGTATGCTGTACTAATGACACTGGCTGGGGAAAGGGGTTACCATCTAGGGGCAATCAAGGGGTTAAACAGTGTGCCCTCTAGAGCAACAGCTAAGGCCACTCTACACACTTGACTCTCTGGGTTGGCACAAGTGGCCTCCATCCCTTCTGAACAATGATGTGATGTGACTGTTATGCCATTCCCTGAGTACCATCAATGAAGTGCAGCAACCCTATTCATGGGTGGACATTCCTTCCTGTGTCCTGCTGTATCCTGTGTGTATCCGGTTCTGACCCGGCTTGCCATTAACCTGCTCTTGGATTCTGCTTATGTTTCTGCTCATCGGTTTCTGATCCTGGCTTCCTCCTGACCTCGTCCCTGTTTGATGTTCCAGTGCCTCATCGCCTGCTCATTGCTGACCCTGGCTATTACTCTGACTACTCTTTGGCTCTACAGTCCTGCCGAGTGCTTGTCCTGGCTATCTATTATATCAGCTCCGGTTGTCACGGTGCGTTCCGGCCTTGTGCTTATCAGATGTTCTGGGAAGCCATGTACCCAGATCTTGCAGTTTCAGTGGAGTGCCTCCTTAACCTCAGCTGGCCGTTCCGGAATCTCTGTTCCTGACTGGATGCCCTGCTTGATTCACCGAGGCAACACCACCAGCTGAAAGTTCTACAATCAACACCCACAGGGTGACCTCGTCAATTCAAACTTCTATCAGGTACGTGACACTTACAGTTCTGTTCACACTCTTGCATTTGCTTCTATTAGCTTCGAAAATGATCCCCCATGTCGCTTTCTTGGTGCTTCAAAGCCTCCATAGAAGTCTATCAACACCCACAGGCACTCGTGTTTCTCCTGTCCCTCACCACCATCTGTTCCACCTTCAGTGGGGCCTGGGTTGGAGATACAAGAGAGGGTGACCTCGTCAATTCAAACTTCTATCAGGTACGTGACACTTACAGTCCTGTTCACACTCTTGCATTTGCTTCTATTAGCTTCGAAAATGATCCCCCATGTCGCTTTCTTGGTGCTTCAAAGCCTCTCCAAAGCCTCCATAGACGTCTATGACAATGCCCCTAACAGCACCCGCAGCTTTTGAGAGGCTTTTATTCAGCTTCAGCTTTGCTTTGTTTTGGAGGTATTGCAGGAATGAGATATCCCAGGATGCAATGGGAAACCAACAAGAGAACCAGAAAGACGACATCAGCAGTTATGTCTGGTTCATGTGTATATATTGTGGGAAAGTCTAGTGTAGACCTCACATCTGGTGTGCAGCGAGGAGCAGCAAGAAGTTGTGGGGTCCGGACTGGACTGTAGCAACTAGCAGATGGCAATCATGGTGCAACATGGGAACACTATAGCAGAAGGTGAGCAGGGACCTGAGAGAGAGGACTGAGTGGCAGAGGCTCAGCAGAGCTGGGGGACTGGAGCAGGAGAAACTATCAATGTCACAAGTGGTGCACAGCATGAGAGGTGAGTGGGGACTAGAGAGAGAAAAAAATCTGAAAATCAGAGGATCAGCAAAGCTTGGGGTTACAACTAAGTGGGGGATTGACAGAGCTGGGGGTTACTACTGAATGGGGATCAGCAGAGCTAGGGTTTACTATGGAGTGGGGCTCAGCAGAGCTGGGCATTATTGAGCTGGGGATCAGCAGAGCTGGGGGTTACTACTGAGCGGGGGATCAGCAAAGCTGGGGGTTATTTCTGAACTGAGGATCAGCAGAGCTGGGGAGTATTACTCAGAGGGGGATCAGCAGAGCTGGGGGTTTACTGCTGAGCTGGGGATCAGCAAAGCTGGTGGTTACTACTCAGCAGTAGATTAGCAGAGCTGGGGGCTACTATCAAACGGGGGAACAGTAGAGCTGGGGGTTACTACTGTGCTGGGGATCAGCAGGGCTGGTGGTTACTACTCTTGGGGGAACAGTAGAGCTGGGGCTTACTACTCAGTGGGGGAACAGTAGAGCTGGGGGTTACTACTAAGCAGTTGATCAGCAGAGCTGGGGGTTACTACCCAGTGGGGGAACAGTAGAGCTGGGGGTATTACTGAGCTGGGGATTACTACTCAGTGGGGGAACAGTAGAGCTGGGGGTTACTACTAAGCAGGTGATCAGCAGAGCTGGGGGTTACTACCCAGTGGGGGAACAATAGAGCTGGGGGTTACTACTCCATGGGGGAACAGTAGAGCTGGGGATACTACTGAGTGGGGATCAGCAGAGCTGGGGGGTTACTACTGAGCTGGGGATCAGCAGAGCTGGGGTTTACTACCCAGCAGGGGAAAAGTAGAGCTGGGGCTTACTACTCA